TTTGAACCAAGGCAATGGAACTCCAAAGCCTTTTCTGCTTTTTTATTCATTCAGTTTAGATTTTTTCAACCTTTTATTTAACATTTTTTCAAATATGCAGAAAAGTAGAAAAGAACAGCACAGTGACACACACCTTGACCTAATTTGATAACCGTTAACATTACAGACATCACTTTCTTAAATGTATTAGTGTGCGTCTCTAAAAACAATGAAGCTGATGTTCTTCACGATTATGTTTTATGACTCCTTTCCAATTAGCAATGACCACCCCCAAGCACTGAACGCTGTATCAGCAGGCACACCGAAATGGACATGCTGCTGAGAACCGTCCCTGCTTCTTGGAAAACAAACACTGAGCTAAACGATTACAAAATGTAGAACAGTACTGACCCATCCAAGAAGTTCTTCTGGACTTGTAGAATACCATCATCCTGTTCTTTGGGCAGTGCGGACATTTTCAAAAGGGCACATCCATTGTGGCAGGACCAACACCATATCTGCAGAGGGAAATAAAGGTTGTCCAGACATAATGTAAACCACCTAACAGAGGACAGGGAAGCTTCGTATTTTAATTCATACAAGGAAATTTACACCTGAAGTATTAAATAGCTGAATATACTCAACTTCGTCATGCCAAGGAATAGGTGCTCACAATGAAAGACTGATTTAGTCTTTAAAAAACAGCCACGAAAAACTCAGGTCTAGGTAGTCACACTCAGACTCACTTGAGGTCTCACATACATCTTTTGATGTGGCTTTTGTGCTGGGAACTTGGTGGATGATGATAAAAACATCACCATCATCATCATCATTAGGGTAGTGACTATTGCTGGAGTGCAGCACATTATGTCAGGATTTCACATGAATCAAGTCATTTAATTCTCACAATCACACTCTGAGACAAGTATGAGTATTATCCCCATTAACAATGAGAAACCAAGGCTTGAAGAGACCAAATAACGCCCCCAAGTTGCACAGACAGCTGCAGCAGTGACTCTGAAGGCAACGCCCATCATTAGAGAAAGAATGAAAAGCTGGTTATTCAAGGCACACTGATATGAGACTCCTACGTGCAAGGCACTGAATTAGGTTGTCAGAGGAGGCAGACAGGGCTAAGACATTGTGTCTACCTTCAAGGAGCTTGTACTCTAAAAAGAGAAATCAATTTGCAGAAACAATAAAAAGCAGAATGTGGTAGAGCTCAGGAGAAGGGAATTTCAATGAACAACAAAGGGAGGGCAACTGAGGAAGAAATCACATGAATGCCCCTAAGTGGCAGATTCAAGTGTTCAGGCATTTTTATGGATACAGTGAGAGTTTCACTTGTCCGCTCTGTTTTACAAAAACAAAAGGAGATTGCAACTGATTTGGGGACGAGGTAATCTGCCAGCAGAGCCTGGAATGGAGGAGTCGGGGAGGCTGGCTGGGACCGATGAGCACTGCTGTGGACTTTGTGCCCTGATAAAGGTCTGGTTAAGGGTCTGACTGGCTAAAGCCCAGTCCCGCTCTGCTAACCAAGCCATCGAGCCCCAACCCAAAGGCAAACCTAGAGGGTTTCAGATGCCCAGAGGGGACGCCCTCTTGCCAGTCACCTGCGCCATGTAAACCATACACTGATACACTGGCAGCAGCCCGGGCCAGAGACGAGAGCAGCACACACCAGGGCATCCTCTGTGCTATACCAAGAAAGTCAGGAAGAGGGACCGGGCATGGGCTTCAGGGGAGGAGGACGAGTCAGCACCGGGGAAGGTGGGTGTCAAGTGCCAACAGGACACCTGTGTGAAGGTATCCAGGAAGCACTTAAGATGAGGGTTAAGGGCTGAGGAGAGGGAAGCAGGGCTGGAGCTCTGGACATGGGAGCTGACCGCCGGCTACAGTGGAAGGGCTCTCAGCCACCTGGGGGGAGGCCAGCAGGACGCAGACCTGCATTAGGAAAGAACTGCCAGAGAGCACAGCTTCTCTGAGAGTCCTAACGAGGCGGCTGAGACAAATCAAGGGCCTCTGCTGCCCTCCTATCCCCTTGGCCAACATCGTGCTACACGCAGAAGCCACCCTGCGGTGCTCGGCCCTCTGCCACGGGCAGCGATGGGCTGAAGGCCCAGGGTGGGTGCCGCTCACTCTGGGAGAGGGAGATGCTCAGCTGTGACTGCTGACAGGTACTAAGAAATTAAGTGTTCTTCATCCTTTTTATCACTTCCCATGGGGCAGAAAGGACTGGCCTTTGTGTCATTCAGCCATAGCTCATTTCCTACTGGGGGCTCAGCCATACTGTCTCCTCTGAGCGGAGGTGCTAAGGGACCACTCCCTTACATTCTCTGCTTGAAACAATAAATAGAAAACAAGCAAAATTCTTGGTCAGAGAGAGACTTCTCACAGGAATTTAGCAAAAAACACACTGTCTTCTCCTACAGTAATCTCGCCAATTTCTGTCTGGGAAAGGGACACAGGATTCTTAGCATGAATGACTTGACAATAGACAAGAATTCGTCTGACAATCCTGTGCATTTTTAAAAGGGAGGGGAGATTATTCATTATTCGGTACAGCTCAAGGTGTCTCTCTTAACAGAGCCAAACAGCTTTAGGGGAACAGCTGCAGCTGGAGGTAGGAAGCAGCAGAAGAAAGAAGAGAGAAACTACTGAGGAGGTAAGAGGACCAAGACAGCACCGTGCTTCTAAAGCCAAGTCAGGAATTTAAGAGGCAAAACATGGAGGGTGTGCTCAGCGTCCAGAAATCCAGTGCAGAGAACGGGGGCCGCACAGGCTCAGGGACTTGGGAGGGCCGATCAGCAGAGTGGGATGCGGGTGGACTCAGGCTGTGGGAGGGAGGGGTCGAGGGGCAAGCACAGAACATCAGCACCGAGCTTAAATACACTTGGTCGTACAAGCAGGGAGAACAAGCCAGTACCTGACTCTTAAGGAAGGACTGCTTCAGGTCAGGGGAGACTTGAGCACGCCTTCAAGAGAGCAGACCTTCTGGGTAGATACGCTCAGAAGGGGCAGAGTGACAGAAGCAGGTTCCAGACAAATCTAGGCAGAGGAGACCAAGAGCCCAGGCAGAGTCTGGACTGGAGAATGAAGAAAACAGAAGCAGGGAGAGAGACAACAGGACCAGGGAGAGAAGGAAGCCACGGAGGCTCAAAGCTTGCTCTCCAAGACCCATGGAAGGAGGGGAGAGTAGGAGTTAAGGGTGGACTCACCACCTTAGAGAGCATGAAAACTTGTTGGCACTGGCCCCAGGACAGAAGCACCCGGGAACCAGCAGGAGCTCAGAAGAGACTGCCGAGGCCCGCAGGAGGCAAGGGAACAGTCGTCAAGCACCTGCTAACGCACGCTCTCCCATTTGGTCTGAAAAACCTCTAGCAATGTTCACCAGCCCCACAGCAAAAAGAACAGATAAATGCTCAGGGCTGGAGTTCAGCAGATGGTCCAGGAGGCTGCAGTCTCTTAGAATGGCAGCCAGGGTATGAACAAAATTACAAATGATGCAAGTCTTCCCCAAAGAAGAGTAAGTGAAGGCAAGGAAAAAGAGACAAGGTGAAAAGCCAGGGTGAAAGGCACAGAGATATGCAAGTGTAGAGAACTAGCGATAATGGCTGCACGGCATGGTGAATATATTAAATGTTGCCATTGGTAAATTTTATGTGATGAGTCCTGGGAGCTGTGTTCCCTGAGTCAATGTGTAAATTCCATCTTACATAATATTTTTCTACTGTCCTGTAAGCCATATTGGAGCTTGTGGTGAATGGTAGACTTTCATTCTTTAAAAAAAAAGAATGAAATGAGCCTATCACTTCAAGGAAAACAACTGACAATTTGTTGTCAATGATAAAAATTGAACTTTCAAGCAAAAATCAGAATTTTGGAAAACTAGTCTCTGCCTTTAACAGCTTCCCAGTATTTAAAGACGTTTCTGATGAGACAGGGATGATATTAATAAATGTGACTTTTTACATAAGAAAGTATGTCAACATTTGGATGATCTGCACAACCTAGTGAACCAGCATTTCCTAAACAACCAGTGTATTCTGTTTTAAAATCATGCATGTTTTAAGATCCATTTTAAGTATAAGATAGACCAACAGATTTTAATTTAGCAGTGAATGAAAAGTTCATTATGTTTTCAGATTCCTTACAAATAACCTTTATGAAGCCACCACTTATCAATTTTTTGGTATACCACCAAAGAATAATATTACCTAATTATCTATCTAAAAGGCTATTAAATATTCCTCCCTTTCCCAAATACATAGCTGTGTGAGGCTGGGTTTTCTTCATGCACTTCAGCCACACCCAACATACCACAGCAGCCTGAATAAAGGGAGCAGATATAAGAATGTAGCTGTCTTCTATTTTCAAAAATGGAAAACAGTACTAATTCCTTTTTGTTTGTTTGTTCTGGACAACGTAGTTATTTTTCATAGAAATATTTACATTAACATGTAATGAGTTTATTACTAAAATAAACATTAAACCATTTTTCAGCTTTAATTTTTAATTTGGCACGTATCATCAGACACAACCACATAAACAAAAGCTCTTTGAGGTCCTCAGTTGTTAAGAGTGTAAAGAGTCTTGAGACCAGAACGCTTGAGAAGCACTGCTCTAAATCGAAGGCGGCAAACTGGTGGGACATGAGCCAGCTCTGTCCCAAAGACATGTTTTTAAACATTTAAACAGCTGCATGCATTTAGAAATCGGGAAAACTCACATAAAAATCTGATTTCTCTGATTCCTCCTGAGAAACTGGGACATCTGGAGAGGCCAGGCCCATTTTCCCAGGGCACAACCCAGCTGGCCCAGAGGAGCAGCCACCCCTTCAAGCAGGCACAGGGCCTCTGGTTCACTGCAAGGCTCCACCTCACCGCCTGCCAGGCCTGCATGCACTTCTGGGCACGTGACCCGTGCTGACACATCTCACCTCCCATCACGGGAGTGACCCTTTTGGTGAACCAGCTGTGCGCACAGCACAGCATTTATCTGCAATTCTCATTCTGTACCAAAGTCCGTGCAGGCTTGGCAACTCCCAACCGCCAATTAGAAACTGAAATGACTGCCAAAATCTTGCTTCCTTTGATCAGTGACACATTAAATGTGGCTCCCATCCCAGTCTATTCTGTGAAAACTCAGTACGCTCTCCACGTCGTCTCTGGGAGAGAGCTCGGCCATGCCCACTCCAGATTAGTGGTGCAGGCCAAAAAGAACCTTATACCCTGCTGCCCCTAGAGGGACGGCTCAGCCTCAAAACGACTCAGGTGTTAAGTCAGGCTGGCTTTCAGCGCCAGGCAGATCTGTAATCCCCCTAAAGCCCCTTAAAGATGTCTCTGCTAAGAACTGCAGCGCATCTGTGAAAGCTCCAGAACTCTGTCCCTGGGAGCCTCATGTCGAAGAGGCTCCCCCAGGGAGTCCCAGAGATATTTTTAGATTGCTCTTGGACTGAGGACAAACTCTTTAAAACCAAAGCCAAGCACTTTAAGTAGGATAATATGCCAGGATAGACCCAGGAGCAACCCATGCTGTGAGGGCTCCCTAACAGATGCACTTACTGGTATGCCGTGACCCTGAAAGCGTGACACGTCTTCTTCAGGAAGAGGGGTAGGGACAACAAAGTATGCTGGCAACCTAGAAGAAAGAGATGTCATCAGTTGTAGTACTGGAGTTAATTCACTAAACATGAAAGCTCAACGTCCATAAACACAGGAAGTTAAGAGGAGGGTTGGCTCATGGGGTCGTATTTCCCTGTTAAGAAGAATCAGCGCAGCTGAGCCGTCTCTGTCCAAATCAGTCAGGAATCTGAGTTCAAATCCCGGCTCTGCCTCTGATTCTGCCTAGCCCTAGGGAAGTTACGCATCTCTCTGGGTCCATTTCCTCATACATAAAATGAGAGAATTAGAACATCTGACATCTATTAGTATATGGGTTCCAAAATTGGGAGTGACCTTTCTCATTGCGTAGTGACCATGTAAGTACCTGTGCTGCTCTCAGTCAGACACATGAAAACCAGTAATCACAATGACCACTGCCCAGGCATTTTATCAAGTACTCGACAACGCTGAAGTGCTTCCTGTGTGTCAGACTCTGAATAATTCACGTTAGGCAATTAGAACATTTAATCCTCCCAACAACACTAAGAGGTATGGACTACTATTATCAGTCCCCTTTTTACAGATAAACAGACGCAGCTCTACAAAGGCCCTTTCCAGGTATAGAACTTAAGTATTAGTGGAGCGCAGACCTGGACCCAAGCAGCATGACTTCAGTTTCTACAGAAGAAAATTTAGGTTCTAGAAATAACAAACTTCTTAAGCAGCAGGACGTGGGAAAGCTAGGTTTTCTGAGTTGCAGAGATCAGAGATATACACAGGGACACCACCTCTTCTAATTAGCAGATGCCAGTTTCTATTAAAAAGTTCACTTGAGCTCTATCACTGCGGAGCTGTAAACACCTTTCACTAAGAAAGCTTCAAATAGAGTCTCGTGAGAAATAAGAAGGTGCCTGTGGTATAAAAACTACAATGGGAAATAATCAAATAGTATTTGTATACATGTTGCATGTTTGAAGTAAATTTCTTTAGTGTTAGGTCATGGGAAAGATGGATTTTCTGAGTTGAGGAGGTCATAATTTTAACATGATCAAGCCATTAGATCTAATCAATTCATAGGGATGGAGCAAAATTTTAAACATCACCATATGGATAGGTTCATGAAAATCCAGACTGTAGGAAACTATCAAATGACCTGGTTTCTTCAAACAAATTGTAAGAAAAAGACAGTGTGAAAATCTATAGACTAAGAAGCATAAGAAATCTAACCATTTTCAAGCTATCAACGTCATTGACTCTTGATTAATGACAAAATAGATTTAAAAGTGGAAGATATATTGTTTTTAAAATTTATAAAACAAGTGGGGACAATCTGAACACCTGACTGGGTACTGAATGATATTAAAGCATTAATGTTAAATTTAAAAGGTGTGATAATGGCTTTATGATTATATTTGTATAAAGAGTCCTTGATTTGTAGAGATGTACAACTGAAGTGTGGTGAGTTCTGGGATTTATTTCAAAGTACTCGAGGGGAGGAGTGGATAGGTAGAGGCATAGAAAACACAGGATTAGCCATGAGTTACTAACTGTTGAAGCTGGGTGATGGGTAAAAGGGAATTCTTCACATTCTCTTTCTTTTACACTGCTTGAAGTTTTCCATTACCAAGAAAAAAAAACTTCAAAGTAATTAAAAAGAAGAAAGCTCCCATAATACTGTGATGTAAAACCAGGTTTGTGAACCACTGGTCAAGGTTAAGATACCTCAAATCCCATTAAAATTTAGAATTATTTGGCTTCTGAGCCTTTGAAGTGCTTGGAATATTTTCTTCCACGTCTGCTTGAGTGGGTGGGAGTCCGTGCCCCTTCTTCAAGTGTTGCTGAAGGAAAAACCTCTTCACAGATCAGTGGCTCTCAAACCCAGGCTGCCCATTAAAATCACACGGGATGATTTAAGAACTCCCCATGTCCAGGCTCCACCCCAGAACTATTAAATGTCGGAAGCGTTAAAAGCTCTCCAGGTGTGCAACCAGGATGAAAGCTGCTGTTCTAGAAGCTCCTGCGACTCGTAAGTGTGCGGTGGCGTCACCTAGACACTTCTAAGGAAAGCAGATTCGCAAGCTGGACCCCAGACCCACAGAAGCGGAATCTGCATTTAACAAGCTCCAGGTGACCGCACTGCATGATCAACTGTGCTGAGCACTGCGCTGGACGCCCTCTCACACCCAGACCACTGCTTCTTGATCCTCACAGGAGAGTCACCCGTGGGATTTGTTTAAACCAGATTCTCAGCTCCTGGCCAGAAGCTCATTCTACAAAGCTGTCATGAGGCCACACTGCTTCAAAAAAATGTGCATGTCTTCCCCTACTAGTGAGACTGATTATTTTACAATGTTGGTTAACCAGTTCATTTTCTTTATAAACAGTCTTTCACCAAAGGGGGAGGGAGAATGTCAGAACCAAGTGTATTAGCACATGTACCATGTAGTCACTGAAGAAAGGAGGCTGCCCAGAAACAGACAGCTCGGCACCACTGGGGTTGGGGGGGCTGTGATGTCCTCTCTCATCCCAGTGAACCTGAGGTGGTTCTACAGAGGCTCCGCTGTGAGACTCCCTGTATCTTCAAGCAAATGACCCTGCCTCCTTGGAGAGCCATCATTTTAGTCATTAGGATGGGTTTTGCAGACGAAGTAAATAGCCTCTCCAAGTAGGAGCTGACTTTATTCAAGGAAAGCTGCATGAGCCATGCTTCGGGTGAGGGAACCCCTGGAGCAACAGCAGTGCAGAATGTCTTCCTGTGGCCAAGGCAATTCACAGGGTGCTACACATCCAACAGGACTGAGAATCCGCTTTACCTTCACAGGGAGATGAGATGAGAAAGGCTTTTCCGGAAAAGGAACAGACTGTGGTTCTGGAATAGCCAGCTCTTACCCTGGGGGAAGGTGAAGTAAACACTGTTTCTTATTCTTATTCAGACTCACTGGGGTCCCCCTCTAACCACTGGGGCTTTTGTTAATTTTTTTTAAATTTTATTTTTATTGAGTTATAATCAGTTTACAATGTTGTGTCAATTTCCAGCGTACAGCACAATTTTTCAGTTATACATGAACATACATACATTCATTGTCATACACTTTTTACTGTGAGCTACCACAAGAGGGGCTTTTGCTAATTTATTCATTCTGTCTCCTATTTATTGAGTGACTCTTAGAAGCCAGGCACTATACTTGGTACTGAGGATATACAGACGAACAAACACCGTGTTCCTGATTCCCCAGAGCTGATGGGCTGCACACACACATGTTAACCAAAGGGTGATGAACTCGTAACAGGAAGAAGCTGTGGGGAGAGGTACACAGTGCAGTGACGGTGAGACTCTCGCTCAGTCCTGGGAAGGCTCCCTGAACAAGACACCTGAGCAGAGGTCTGATGGGTAAACAGGAAGGAACTGGGCAGCTAGAGGCAAAAGGAGCATCCTGGACAGGAGACCACATGGGCAAGGCCCTGGGGCAGGGTTGCGGGGGGAGTCAGGGTGGCTAGAGGGATGTACACAAAGCTGGAGAGTTAGGCAGGATCAAACCATGATGGGCCTGGTAGCACCTGTTAGAAGTTTTATTCACTGTACCATGAACAGCAAGGAGCCACCCAAGCAGGGGAGAGGACAAAGAGAAGCGTCCTGGAGACACTCACCCAGCCTGTTATACAGATGCTGGGGGCCGCAGTGGGTGGAGGAGACCATGCAGGCAGCAACCATCCTGGTTTAGGTGAGAAATAAAGCACAGCTTTCATCATCCCCACGGGACAGAAAACAGGGGATGCATGTGTGTGGGGGTGAGTGTGTATGGCTAGGGCAGTCCAGGGCAGTGTGTTTGCACTGAATGATCTGAGCCCCAAAATCTTGCTAAGGCTCCATTCTCCCCACTGACCACTGATTAGAAGCCCCCTCCCACACCCCACTTCCTCCACCTTCTCTACCTGGTATACTTTTTTTTTAATTGAAGTATCTTCAGTTTACAATGTTGTGTCAATTGCTGGTGTACAGCACTTCAGTCATATAGGAACATACATGTATTTGTTTTCATATTTTTTTCACCATAAGTTACTACAAGATATTGAATACGGTTCCCTGTGCTATACAGTAGGAACTTGTTGTTTATCTATTTTATCTATAAGTAGTTCGTATCTATAAATGTCAAACTCCCAATTTATCCCTTCCCACCTCCTCCCACCTTGTAACCGTAAGTTTGTTTTCTATGTCTGTGAGTCTGCTTCTGTTTTGTGAATAAATTCATTTGTCTCTTTTTTTTTTTAGATTCCACATATAAGCAATCTCATATGGTATTTCTCTTTCTCTTTCTGGCTTACTTCACTTAGAATGATGTTCTCCGGGGACATCCATGTTGCTGGTATACTTTTGATGGGTTGACACCTATGCAAATACCAATGAATCCAAATGAATCCATTTGTGGCAGGATTTTTAAAAACAATCCTAGGAGTGGGGATGCCTCCTATCAGTGTCAATATCACATCATGAAACATCGCCTCCTAGGAGCAGGGGCTTCCGACCTCCTTCTGAGTAAGAGCGAGCAGGGCAGGAGTGGGGCATATGTGACACAACAGCTGCTCTGCAGGCCCCTCCCTTCTGTCACCCCAGTTTGTGCTGTAACAAGAAGGCAAACCTCATAAATGTCTGACATTGATCCAATCAAAACTGATCTGCTTAAGAGGCCCTTCAGAACCACGAACACAAAATGCTCTAAGAATACAAAATTTCTGAAACTGTTAGCAGGGTGTTGGGGATTATGTTCCAAAATGATAAGATTCAAGTTTCCAAAAAAGGATTATGCAGAGTCACCCTTTAAAAATGTAGGTCAGGTCACATCACGCCCCTGCTCAGACTCCTCCGCACTGCAATGTAAATTCTGAGAGCCTCCTGGCCCGTCAGCATTCAGCCACCCCTCTCCTTCCTGACCTCGCCTCCTACTACTGTCCCATGCTCACTCCTCTTCAGAGCCTGGGCTGTGGGAGATCCTCGCTGCATCTCATGTAAGCCAGACAAGATTCCACCTCAGGGCCTTTGCCCCTGCTGTTTCCTCTGCCTGATCCACCCTCCCCGCCAACAGCTTCGGCACGCCCTACCCCCTTGCCTGGTCTATTTTCTCCATAGCACTTTTCCTTTTAGTATAACTGCTCATTTATTCTATCCTCGTTTTCCTCTGTCTCGAAGGAAAGCTCCAGGAGAGCAGGGGTTTTTAGGCTGTACCTCGAGTAGCTAAGACACTGTCTGGCACATAGCAGGCACTCAAAAATGTTTACTGAATGAATAAATGAAGTGCTTGATAAAAGGAAAGCAAATACATAATAAAAAGTCAGAAATGCCCCTAAAAGTTTTACACTTAGATTACAGATACAATAATGAGAAGAAAAAGACACATATTCACTTCTGAATATTTTAAGAGTTTCTTAAAAAAAATCAGTATCAATGTGAAGAAAGCGGAACCCTCATACACTGCTTGTGGGAACGTACAATGGAGCAGTTGCTGTGGAAAAGTCTGGCGGCTCCTCAAAAGGTGAAATGCAGACTTACTGTATGACTGAGCAATTCCACTCCTAGGAACATACCCTAGAGAACTGAAAATACACATCCATACAAAACCTTGCCCACGAATGTTCACAGCAGCATGCTCATAACAGTCAAAAAGTGAAAACAACCCAAATGTCCATCAACTGATGGAGGGAGAAATAAAACGTGCTATGTATCTATACCACGGGATAGCCAGCAACAACCAAATAAAACACTGATCCCTGCCAGGACATGGACGCGCCTTGACGACATCACAGTAAGTGAAAGAAGCCAGGCACCAAGACCACGCGTTCTGATCCCACTGATAGGAAATGCCCCGAAAAGGCGAATCTATAGAGAGACTGGTGTCTGTCTAGGGCTGGGGGAGTTGGGGGGACACGGGGAGTGACTACTGAGGGGTGTGGGGTTCTTTCTGCGGATGCTGAAGGTGTTCTACAGCTGACTGCGGTGACGGCTGCACGGCCCTGTGAATGTGCGCTTCACACTCCGCGCTTCAGACGGGGGGCCTGGCTGGCGTGGGGATGAACCCTCAGCCCGGCTGTGCAAGATGACGAGCGCGGCCCGCAGAGCTTACCTTTCACACACTCTGTAGCCTTCGTTGATGCTCACAGCTTTGAACTTCACGTTGCCTTTGGTCCGCTCCAGCTCCCAACACCAGTCCTTAAGTGTGTCAAACATGACGGTATGGTTCTTGGGGTCCGCAGCTAACAAAACACATAGAAAAGGATCATAAAATCTTGTCGGGAAGCACTGGTATCTTAATGATGTGAAAGTGGGTCCTCCGGCCCCAACTTCCTCCACTCAGCCCGTTTTTATCCACTCGAAATGGACTCACTGCTCAATCCTAAGCTTGTTCCTTCTTCCTGACCAAGGCTGTGTCTTTATAGACTGAAAAAAAGGAGCTGTTCTTGTTCCATTCCTTGCAAAAGTAATTTATAGCTCCACTTTCAGTCATCTGACCATGAGATACTTTACATACCATAAAAAGAGCCTGTGAAGCACTAAAAGACAGGCTTGGCACAAATGCTAAAATAAAAATATTTTTAGCCCTACCAACGTGTGCATAAGATGGCAAACTCATTTGAACAGCGTGTCAGATTCCTGAGTGTGAAACCTCCTTCAATTTGAAGATGCACTGCCAAGAGGAGGATTTTCCAGTGTGACACCTCGCTTCTGAAGGTCATAAACAACGGAGACAGCCACGGTGAGGGTCAGGGCCTGCGAACCCAGGGCTGCACCATGGGGACCGGATGGGGACTCTGACCCTAGCCCTGCCACCACCTGCCGGGAGGAAGTGCCCGGGAGCACTGCTCCTGCAGCCCAGCAGGCATGTCCCTGGTCCTCTCCCATGACGGGGGTGACACACACCAAAACAGTCTTGAGGACTTATGGAAATCAGTTTAAGCCTGAGCATATCTAAAAAATACAAGCATTCTGGGAAAAACAAAGTGTTTAATAAACTCCCGCCTGTTCCTTTTAATAAAACCAGATCATAGTACAAAGGATGATAATACAAATCATGATAAAAACAGAAGTTAAGCTTTTATGGCATTTAGTATGCCAGGCACTATTCTGAGTATCTTACATCTAATAACTCAATCCGCACACCCTACCATGCACGTAATATTATTTCTTCCGTTTTACAGATGTGGCACAAAAAGTTCAATTATATTGCCCAAGGTCACAGAGCAAGGTAATGGCAGAACTGGAATTCAAACCCAGGCAGCACTACAGTAAATTTCCATACAGTAACAAATGCAAATAAATTTTCCCACAATGTAAGTAATAACAATACTCCTATTCAAGCACAGTAGGACAACACAGATTTTCTTAGCAACACAGATAAGTCCTTCCCTAAAATGCCATGTCATAAACATTTAGGACCTTTCAGCCAAAGCACGTTTGTAAATTATTAAGCCTGAGAATAATGAAAGATGTTCAGATTGCAAAACCCACCTCTACAAACCCTTACGCAATAAAAAGGCTAACTGGACAGCTTGCATCTATCAGTTATAACCTTTACCAATCAAAAAAAAAAGGATGCCAGAAGGAAAAGAGAAGGAGGCTGGAATTCAGATGGAATAAAAGATGCCACATATCCTGGGCTTTCTGGCACAAAAAGCCACCACAAAGTAATGAAACTGCCAGGATCAGACAAGGTAAGGGTTCTGGCACCCAGATCAGCACGTGCTGGGAGCTGAGAAATTGTCCTGTGCTGGGTCCAGACCAAGAATCAGATATAAGGAAGAGGCAGAATTCCTAAGAACAGAGCATGATTTTCAAATGCAGTTCCAATAACTGCTTACAAGAATTACAGCAATCAACAAAGAAGTCATACTTTCTGTCTCTCACATTACAACAAGCTGTCGAAAGCCAGCACCAAGTTCATCAGCACTTGTACATCCTGCTACAGTGAGAAGATCATTCACAAAGATGAACTTCCTGAATTAAGGAACAAATTTTACGTTCGGCCTAATAGCAGTGCTAAGTATATTTTATGTCAGCGTAATTCTCTGAACATAACCTGTCCTGAATAAGCAGTTACACCCTCAGCTAACCCTAGTTCAATGACCCTATGTGCCAGGCACTGATAATCGATCAGGCAACTGATAATCTTCACGACACTTCAAGGGAAACATTAACACTACTAAGTTTAAAATGCAAAAACAAAGGCCCTAACCAGCCCCAGGATCCCACAGCTACTAGATTAGCTGGGCAAGGATTTGAACTCAGCAGACCCTAAAATTCATACCTTTTTACTAAATCACCGTAGTTTCCCAAATGCCCCCTGCTCTCTCAGAGACCAAGATCTCTGTGCCTCTGGCAGAGGCACATGCCAACCCCACTGCCTCAAACACTCCTGGGTGCCTGCCAGCCCCTCCCACACCCTGCACCAGCGAATCGAGCCCAGCCCGCCCTCCCTCCCTCCTTGTGGCCGGGCCCTCCCACCAGAGGACACATCACCCTGTTTGACTTGATGCGCTCAAAGGGCAGCGACTCAGCTTTGTTCATACCCCTCGGTGCCTGACCCATAGCAAGTGTTGGACAAATGTTTACCGGGGAGCAGTTAGTGACAGCACCCCTGTGTTCGGGAAAGCATCATCCATGCAGTTACACTAACATGCCACCTCCCTGAAGAGGAGCACAGGGCGCAGAGGACCACTCAGCATCAAGGGCATGTTAAGACCAATGGGCAGATGGGGTACAACGTACAGCATCATAAACGTGACACTGCTGGATGTTTACGTACAAGAGCTGTGAAAGAGAGCAAATCCTAACAAGTTTTCATCACAAGGAAAAACAATTTTTTTTTATTACTTTAATGTTGTATCTACATGAGACGATGGATGTCACTAAACTTACTGTGGTGATCATTTCATGATGGATATAAATCAAATCATTATGCTGTACGCCTTAAACTTCCACAGGGCTGTGTGCCACTTACATCTCAATAAGAGTAGAAGGAAAAAGTACTGATTTGGAGTTTTAATGGGCAGCAAGTGAACAGACAGAGGGGAGAGATCTAGAGAAGCAAGAAGACAGACATCTGTGGAAACAGCACACTACGCTCAGCAGTATTAACAGCTAATTCCGACGACCAGGGTTTCTTACTTCAAAGATTGTTCTTTTTCAGTGAACCGAATGGAAAACATTTGGAATTTTAAGTTTTCTAACCTAACTAGTGTTCTGAAGTACTCTCTTATGTGCAACTGTTCTATTTCCCCCCAAAATACTTGGCATAAAGCGTGTTCTTGTTGTTTAAAAACTTTCTAGAATGCAAGACTTTTTCTAGAGTCTTTTGAAATGAAATCAAGTATTTAAAGAGGAAAAAAGAACCCAGGGACAGTGATTTTAAACTTGTCTCAATTTTGTTTCCCTATAGTCTCACATTCCCAATTATAATATATTGATTTTACCTTTCATAAGAAACAAACAATCCCTCACAAAAAGCAAACCTAAAATATAAGTAAAAGCAACAAAGATCACAGGATAAATAGAAACATTAAAAAATTTATTTTAAAAGAAACCAGAATGAATGGCCCAAGCAAGAGGTGACCGTTAGAAAAGAGAGGAAACCGCCATGAGCGAGTTTTTCTCCCACTAGTTGCAAGTAGGAAGTGGAAGGGCCCTACCCACCTGCAAACGACACCTTACCTGTGCTGTTCTGTGCTGCAGCTGCATAGGAAAACAGAAACAATCGTTTAAGTAGTTTAGGAGACTGGGTGTGATGAATTATGCCACTGACAATCTAGAAAAGAAGCAAGCAATGGACACAGTCACGCTTCTGGCAGATACACCTTGGGAGAGACAAGAACCAAGCTGTCTGGGTTTTCAGCAATGCTAATGGGCTCCTATGGGCAGCACATTAACACTTGCTGAGGTCTGCATCTATGGTCTTATCTCCTGGAATAATGTCAAGTAAACAGAGTGCTTAACATTCTGCCAGGGTTTTTAAGAGCTTTGAATTTCTAGAGCAATTTTAGAAAGATAGCTTAATGTCTCAAAAAACAAAGCTCAAAAAAAAAAGTGCCATTTTCAGATACTCCAAAATCTGACATGTCAAAGAGGTAAAGCTGATACCAGACATCAACCAAGACTCTGATCTACGTGTTGCAGCCCTAAGGGTCTTCTAGAAGATAAGGAAATCAATCCATTGAGCTTTTTGTCTGGAGTTCCAAACAAAAGGATGTTTAGACAGATGGCTAAAATCATCATTCAAAGTGAAGTTTCTGGCTTCTCAGGGAATCTTCCGTATCTGCACCACTCTTTCCTGCTCAGAACAGACTCTGGAGTCACATTTATTACTCTAACTGAACAACCACACTACCTGAAAGAAAATTAAGAGGTTACCTAAAAAGAATGCATAAATCACTACAACCAAAGACAACAGATAAACTGGCCTCTCACTAGGTTTCCCCGATGTATTTACCATGACAGTGGCAAGTCTGAGATCTTCAATATCTTAAGAGAAATCTTGGAAGTTACAATAATTATTGTAACCAGTTCACCCAGTTACACATCTCAATTTGCTACAGCAACCAGATTAAGTAAGTCACCAAAAGCACAGACTCATTTGGTGACTCACTTTGCCCATCAGACCCATGTATCTCCTCCTCCTTCCACGTGCAACCACGACCTCCCAGATGTCAACTCATTCATTCCGGGGGGTGGGGGTGGGTCACTGCCGCTGCCTTTGGGAAAGGCTGTCAGAGGTGGGGGATGAGGGTTGCATCTGGCTGCTCCATCCTTCCCTTTCCCCGACTGCCTCCTGACCCTGGTTTACCACCTCCCACCCTTTGGAGGCTCCAGGAATGAAAATACTATGAAGGATTAAAGGTAGCATGTACAGTCATGCTCTTCCAGATTCTCTCTCAATTCTAACCAAAGCTCATAGGATTATAACCAATTTCAGCTTTATAGAATGAAAGGCTCCCCTCAACCTTTGTGTAACAGAAGCAAGAACTAGCGTTAGTGGGGAAAACCTGATGGGAAATAAAACCTGAAAACACATGCAGCTAGTTACCCTTTTGACTTCCTCTTCTTTTGTGTACCTCAGACAGAAGTGGAATACCCGGAGGTCTTTGCAGTGGATGATGAGTTTCTCAGGGTACTTCTTCAGCTGTCCAAAGAGAGTCTTTTTTTTCTCATCAAACACTACACGTCAGTGATGAAACCAGGAAGGGAGATCACGTTATAAGGCAACAAGTCAGTGCTAAAGAAACAAGGTAGACTACTAACTTCTAAGGACACCTCTCAAAAGTGAGAGGAAAGGTGCTGGCTCCTAAGTGACTGTCAGCAGGGGCCCTGTTCTCTGACAACAGTCAGGGTTCCTCTCCCCTCCTGAGAAAGCACAAAACCACAAAGGCCTGGCCACTGCCGGCAGGACCGACTCCACCCACCTGCAGAAGACCCAGCTCCGAAAGCCAAGGTTAGGAAACTGGACAGGAAATCCCCAGGGACATGCTTTTGGGACAGTCAACTCCTGGGTTCATGGTCAGGGCCCCTCTAGACACCTTCCTCCCTGTCTCACAGTTTGGACCATGGAACACCAAGAGGGACTGGGAACACCATAAATGGCTACTGAATGGTTTCTGAAAAAGCCCGACTACAAAAACAAAGAAGTGGAGCAGAGAGAGGCTTGTTTAGTCAGCAGAAAAGACACTGGAGTGCAGTACAACGGGCCTTTACCACGTTAGCCTTTACAGTAAAACCTACACAGTTAACACTGACATGTGGTCAACATCTAGCACACAACAGCTCCATGGGTTATTAGAAAGAACAGGTTCCAAGTTCAAGTCTAAACTCCAGCTTAGTGACTCCAAATAAGTCACTTCACATTTCAATTTTCTCATCCGAAAAACTGACTTAAACAAGATAAATATGTGAAGAAATTTTCATAAACTATAAAGGACTAAGAAAATATCATTATCAGTTATACTTTCAAAGGCTGGCAACACTCCAGGGGAAACAGACACTTACCTCCATAAATCTGATCAACACAGTGGAGTGTGATGTCATTTTCTCCTATAACCTTATTCTTAAATTGGGTTTCCTAAAGATTCAAAAGGAAACAACTGTGACTCCTGTCTATGCACTGTTAGACATTTATAGACATTTATAGGCAGAGCAAATCACCATTCTCCACTTGCATATTAAGAAAAATGGGGAGTGGTTGGGGGAAATGGGTAAAGGTGGTCAAAAGGTACATACTTTGGTTATAAGCTAAATAAGTCCTGGGGATGTAATGTACAGCATGGTGACTATAGTTAATAACAATGCATTATACACTTGAAAATTGCCAAGAGGGCAAATCTTAAAGGTTCTTATCATAAGAAGGAAATTTTGTAACTCTGTGAGGTGATAGATGTTAACTAAATGTACTGTGGTGATCATTTCACAATATCTACATATATCAAATCATTATGTTGTACACGTTACACTAACACAATGTTATGTCAATTTTATCTCAACAGACTTAGAAAAAATAAATGAAAAGGTGTACACCCTAAAAAAACAAACAGGGCAATGCAGTCACATGCCTAGGAAACGGATGAACAAGTAGTGAAGTGTGTGAGAAATGCTGTTGAACACTCGTCTTCCAACCCAGGTAGAACATGCCATCCCTAGGCTGCGCCCAGGTCAACGTGCCAGGCCACTCATGATGACTTTGAGAGGTGCTGGGAAGTGGTACGCAGGTTTGGACTTCTCTACACAAATGCCAACAGTTGAGTGACAGAGCTGTAAGAAGCCAGGAAGAAAACTGGGAAGATTCCACTTTCCATAAACGCTGTCTTCGTACAGAACTAGGAACCCGGCCGCTGCAGCACCAGCAGCACGGAAGCCCACGCTCCGAGGCAGCAGTGGTGCCGCCCGCGGCCAGGCCGGCTGGTCTCTGCTAACGCACAGCACCCCCTGAGTGGTGTGGGCCTTCTCGCCTCATTCCACTGCTCACTCTTCCTGAGCAGGGACAAATCTTACAAGGACACTGCTCCTCGGGGCAGAGTAAACACAAAGTAAATCCAATGTCAAGTGCTGCTTTCAGCATCAGTTTAATAACTGAACTCAGTTCCTGAATCTGAGGAAGAGTTCAGTATAGAGAAAACATGGGGAGCCAGCATATCTGGGGAGATGTGGTTCCCATGAGTGAGACAGACTGTGCTGAAATACAGGAGAAAATAGAGTTGACAGTGTCAACCTATGAAGTCAAACGCAAGTCACTGTGACGTGAGGCACTAGTGGGAAACTGACGGTCCTCCCACAGAAAGGAGACCCCTATCAGGAGAGAGCAGACTGCAGCGAGGAGGACTCTGTCCTTCGTGTTTATGTGTGTTGTGGGCGAGCAACTGACAAGCTGGGAAAAAAGACAATGGGGCCACAAGTGCACTGCTCCCACCCAAACTCCACCAAGCTCATACATACATCATTCTCCAATGTAGATTCGTCATCGCCCAAGAAAGCAATCTTGAAGTCTGTGCAGACAAGCCTTCCGTAGATCCCACGCTGACAGGAATCTTCCTGGACACACTTCAGTACTGTGTTGGCTTCACAGAGCAGCTGTTCACCTGACCGAAACCAAACAAGTCCACCTTAGAGCCCTCAGGGAACACACAGTATGCAAACAGTACAAGCCTCCCCGGCTCCGTTCCCGTAAAGACACACAGACACACAGACACACACGAATCAACGCAGCACTTGAGAACTTTACACTCTTCCAGCATGTAGCATCGGTGCCTGGATAGATGGAGACGATCTTGGATGTATGTACGAGCACAGAGCCTGGTATTTTTATCACTTGGGCCCAAGCAGACGTTCTGCAGAAGTGGTACCCAAGTAGGCAAAGCCAGAAAGGCTGCCCAGCACGCTCTGGCATGCAGCTCTCGAGCCCCCTTCCCCATGAGAGGGGCCAGCCCTCACCTTGGAGCTGCTGGGAGAGGTGGGTGTCTCCCGCCCACGGCTCCCAGGCCGCTGCCTCAGGTGCAGAGGCTGCAGCTCCACGGATGAGGACAGGAGGAAAAGGGAGGTCAGAGGTGTGTGGGGAAAAAACAGTTTCCTCTCTTTCTTAGTTGAGAGCATTTCCTCTCAGTGTGTCACCTTTCCTGCTCCATCTGCAGACACCCAGCAGTGTGAGGAGCGGTATTTCCTGGTGACAGAGAGTACTTCTCTTTACAGCCAAAAGGATGAGGATTTAGGGAGAGGCCGGAAGCAGAGAGGCTCACGACGACTGGCAGCTGGGGGGGGGGGGCGGGGAGGGCAGGAAAAAGAGAAGGACGAAAATGAAAAACTGAGTGCAAATACTTTGCAACAAGAAAAAAAGGAATTTTCTTATCTTCCAACAACCAACTTCTTAGAATTTCCCTCTGGATATTTCCTTCAATGGCTTTAAATTTACTATTTAGCTCAAAATTCATTTAATCTAACATTCAGTATGAAAACAAAGAAGAATTTCAGACACTAAGACTATCAAGCGACACATACTACATTTCTTCTTCTTTTTTTTTTCTATCTTCCAAGGGATTAATTACTAGGGAAACACTGGAAGATGGCTCAGTCACCAGGTCAGCCTCTACAGAGACCACAGAGCTTGAAGAAAACAATGAAGTCAGGACCTCATTAGAGTTTTAAATAGTCCAAGAAAAGTGCTTCAGCTGAGTCTGAGGTGGAGGACACACGTGTGAGGCTCCCTGCACTTTCAGCTCCTAGCGTGAAGCAGCCAATGGTGAGCCCCTCCCCAAGACCAAGCAGGCCCTGTGGACAGGCAGTCAGGCCCTGGAGGCCGGAATCGGCACACGGGTCTAATACAGCATCCCGGGGAGGCTGCACACAGCACGCTGCGCCTCAGGTATCAGCTTGCAGGTGCAGACAGAGCCTCGGATCATGGGTAGAGGGAGCTGGAAAAGATTTCAGTCTAGTCTAGGCAACTGGGGCTGCACACCTGGGAGAGACCATCAGGAAATCCCGGGGATGGGAGAATGTATACACTAAGCTAAAAACAAAAGTAAATTTCAGAATCTATAACCCAACAAAAGGAAATAAGATACATGGATTGAGGTTCACGCCATCATTATAGGAAAAGGCCTTTGAAACTTAATATTAAAAAAAAAAAGTTACAGATTCTGATATACTTACCAAATAAGGTGGATTGGTCAGAAACATGTGTGTATCCATAATCTCCCAATAAAATGGAATAAAATTAAAAGTACTGGAATGAGGCCTCTATTGTTTTGGGAAAAGGTACCTAAAAATACTTATGCAAACAGCTATTTGGGATTGGAAAAAATAAAGTGGAAGAATTGAATGCACAACTCACAGGAGAGCCCCATATGTGGAGAGCTGCACCACCAAGTAGTTGTTATTTATGAATTCAGAAACTTGACTTAAGCTATAGAGTCACTCATCTCATCTCAAAACAAAAGAAAACCCCCCAAAATCCCCAACCAATCCAGGCTCCTTGGTGACAAGGTGATGACTACAGGCAAAGCCCTGGCAGCCCCAGGGCTGGTTAAACCCCAGCAGGTGTCGGTCACAGGGATCTGCAGGAGACCAGGATTTTCCTGACTAGCGACCAGAATACTTGATGGGCGAAGTAAGACAACCTGAAAAAAGGCCTCATTTGTTTAAAAAAGAGGTGAGAATTTCCCAGATTTATTTTTATCAGCTTGGGGGAAGGGGAAACAAAAATTCTTTGTAGATGTTGTAATACTCAGTCCCAGGTGTGTAGTTACTGAACTAAAGACCTTGATATTTTTCTCCAACTCATTACTGTCACACGCTGTCTGGATGAAAACAAAGGGGTTTATATATAGTGCTACTAGGGATGACAATTTATCACTGGCTTTGAAATTGCACATGAGGGACGACGCTAACATGATGGTTACCTGGCAACAAGTGAAGAGTTACTTCCTTCTCTGTAATTTCCTTTTCATTTGTGTGAATTTCCTAAAAGAGAAGAGCAAAGGGTAATATTTTTCTTTGTTTAAGGGCTCAAATGAATCACATAAAGCCATTCTTTCAGAATACACACTAAAACATCATATGCCCTCAGGAGTTTTCTGTTTATTTAACACGCTAGTTTTTTTTTTTTTGAAGTTCTTTTAACTAAAGGAAGACAGAAAATTCCAACAAGTTGGTTCAATGTATTAAAGTAATTATTTTGGATGGACAGTTATTAGTCATCCCAAGCAAAGGGGCAGGGATGGGCACCCCCCACCTAAAGGAACAAATGTCGCACAGCGAAGTAAGGCAGCTGAAGGAGAGTCAGAAAGAATGGAAAGCGGTCCACAGAGTCCTCTCTTCCTCCAGTGAGAATCAAGCATCAAAAACAAAAGACTGTTGTGTGTTTTTGAGAGAAAATGGACCTGTGTAAAGGGCTCGAAGTTAAGAACAAGGAAATGTGAATGTATCAAGTCCATACTGGTCCGTGTACTCTGCAGCACAGCAGGGCTCAGTAAGGGCGCTGGGCCCGCATCTGCCCACTCTGAGTTACTACCACCACCAGGCAGCACTCCGAGATGCCATCACTTCTAGTAAGGAAGCAAGGCCAGGTTCTGTGTCACTGTTTCTCAATAAAAATATCTTCAAACACTTCTATGTTGGGTTCAGTGTTTAGTGGATATTCAAAGATAATTAGCAATCTGTAATGAATTAACAAACCAAAGCAACAATCATGGATGGCTGTTAACCAAAAGAGAGGCAAGTGAGGCCCCCTTATCAACCTACCACGCCATCTATGAAGAATTCTTGCCAGAATGTCTAACGTCAATGTGCCTGGGCTTCTATGTCAACCCACCAATTTACAAGAACACGGGGACAGAGAAACATGTTAAATGATACCACGGGGATGCAACCAGTCAAATCCTGACTGTCGGAAATTCTACAAAACACAACCAGTTCTGCTGATAAATAAAAACGGAATTTTAAAATTTGGCTTTGAGTAGAAGTCTCTGGGTGGTATGAGTTTTCTGAATTTGTTGATTCAGCCTGAAGCACGGCACTAGAAGCAAGCTGGGGACAGCTGAGGCAGGGAGAGGCTGGGCAGCCCATCTGGAGGCTGAAGAACAAGAACACAGTCATGGCTTTTTTAGAGATCCCATCTTGAGCGTGCTCTATTTTGGAGATAACTACAATTTCCACCCCAGGAGATGCCAATAAATCAAGCCGCTCTGAGGCAGTGCTTCTCACACCAGTGGAGGGTTAGATCACCTGGGGGCTTGTTATCTCTACAGACATTCGGACTCCACCCCCCACCCCGCTCAGACAGGCCTGAGGACTCGGAGTGTGTAGGATGCAGCTGGGCCTCCAGTTTTGTAAAAGCACCCCAGATGATTCTGATGCGTTGCTCTAGGTTACACCAGAGGGACTATTTTTGCATATGTAAATGCTATGAGTGTTTTGGTAATTTAGAGATTCTCATTGAGAGTTTTCATCATCTGTCATTGACAAAGCACTAAATTAAAGCACAATTTATTTTTGACAGGTCTATCATCTTTGAGGAAAGCAAAGCTATTCACTCGCTGAATTCAATCAGCTGTTAGAAAACTGGCAAGCATCTTTAATGCTTGGAATCGTTCAAAAACTGAAGCCCCCATGGAGAAGACTACCCTGCTGTTGCGTCTGCAGAAGTATCACCTTCTGATGCTGAAGAACTTACACTGTCCAAAGCTACCTACATACACCAATTCTTGAAATGGTTAGTGAAATTCTTTGTTTACATTCCATAAACAAGACAATCAGAAGACACCTTCAAGGATTCTGTCCTACCCAAAACTTTCTGCTCCTCAGCCTCCGGGAGTGAACCACCTCCTCCCCATCAACTGCACGGGCTGCTGGACAGCAGATCCTGCAAAAGGCTAATCACATTGGCTCCTGCATTAATTTGGCTGAAGGGTTAAGAGAAGTTGAAAAAGCTGGCCGCTTCAGCTACAGACTTGTAGATTTGGCCACAAATAGGGGGCAGCAGAGAAAGGTATTCTACAGAGAATGAGATACTTGAAGACGGTATGTGGAGATAAAAGCCCAGCTCCCAGACACACAAGCAATCCCACCTGGATTCCACGGCTTTCCAGGTTCTAGTAAGGCCCAAGCACACCTCTGGCCCACGGTTCCATGAATCACACTTGTATCCTTCTAATATATTCCCTTGCTAACAAAAATTAGTTACAGTTCTGTCGACTGTCACCAAGGGTACTGACTTAGGTCACTTGCACTAACAACAGAGAAACCACAGATGACAGAATCATGTTCTGCAACTTGTCAACGTACAATTTTATCAAAGCCACAGGATCAGGAACCAATGTTACAGCCACCATGTCACGAGTTGGGCTGGCAGGGAGGAGTCAAATGCCAGAGGTAGCATCCACCACCTCAAGGCTGTGCGTTTTAGATGAGGTGAGGACATATGAGGCTGCCAAGCTGTGAAGCCTCACTGGATTCTACCAGTGTTCAAGTGGATAAAACACCCTGAATGGCTTTCCTTGGCTAGGACCCCTATATTTTCTTGCATGACCTCTCTGGGTGTGCAGGCACATACAACCCCCTGCCCCGCCCCCTCCTACGTACCAGGTAAAACAGAATGTCCCACATCATTCTTAGCCTTGTCATTTCCAAGGTAAGTCATACATGTATTTGTATATACATATATTTAAAGCAGAGGATACTAAGCTTCTAAAGATAACTGAGGTTTGTACACGGAAAGGGAGGAGATTTGTAAGAGACAAAGATCATTTAAATGAATCCCTACCAAGCGCTAGGTAAACAGGAGCACACAGGCTGGTGGGGAGAACAGACAACACTGACGATTGATGGATGCTATCATAAAGACTCTGACGTGGGGCTACAGGAGCACAGAAGTGGGGACCTAACTCTGCAGAGGGACCAAGTTGGGGAGGCTGTTCCAGCACATGCTTCCAGAGAAGTGGCTTGTAAGGAACATGCAGGAGTTCCCCAGCTGGACCAGCAGAGAGAAGAGGAAAGAGAAGGTGCGAAGACACGGAGGCAAACAACTCCACAGGAGGGTGAGAAACATGGCCGCGCAGCAGTGGGCTCGCCAGCCGTCCGAGGGGGTCTGGGCTTTCTCCCGTGGGTGGTGGGGGGCACATGAAGGAATGCAAGGGGTGGGTGAACAAAGCACACATATTACTGTCTCCAATAAACGTCTTTCTGGTAAAAGCACAGGACTAAATCAGGAACCTGGGTGGGTTCTAGCCTACAGAGCTACCAGGAGGACCTCGGGCAAGTGTCCTGGCCTCAGTGTCCCCATCCAAAAGGACAGAATCAAGAGCAGTAATGCCTGTCTTGTGAGATGAAGTAGAAGAGACTTGCCCAGGATCAAAATTATGACAATGCAGTGAGTCGGAGGACTTGTGCCCAGAAGGAGGGAGGTCCCCGATGGCTTTCCCTCACTAGAAACAGAAAAGGAAGACCCTGCAGACCTGCTCTCTCCATTCTAAAACACTCTGTCACAACATGGCGCGGTATTCTCAAAGGGATGAAAATGAATCTACTAGAAGCATTTCCCAGGAGAAAAGGAAAAGGCTGGAGACATTTCCCCACTCACCCTCATCTCTATCAAATGCCCCAGAGGCTTAGTATTTATTTTTCATTTTAAACGTATGGACTCCTCTTCTTCCCTAGAATATTGTAAAATACAGTCTGATGTTGGCAACAAGTTGCTGGCCAAAAACTGACCTGAGAAAAGGGAACACCCACCTAGCAGCTAAGTGGTGGAGCAGCCACACATCTCACGAAGCGTGTGGGAACATCAGCACTGGAGGGGACGACAGGGAAACCACCAAGATCCCCAACAGCGCTGACTTCCTACTAAAGCTGCCGCGATCGTCAGACTTCCGCCCGCCCCGCAGACAGGGCGAGGAGAGCTCGGCTCAGCACAGAGGCACACACTGCTGTCCCTGTGGCCAGCGTCCAGGGACCAGGATCCTAATCATCCCTATCTCGAATGCCGCTACACCAATAACAAGATTCGACTTAACCAAGACACTGATCCCGAAGCAACCTCACCCATTTTGATAGGCTGCGGAGAATCATAAAGTGAAAAAAAGATTTCCAAGCAGCAAAAACTGATGTGTCTGAGTTTGTGCAGAGTGAGTGAGGCCCTCCACATGCTGTCCGTCATTCTCAGCCTCCACTTCCACTGCATGCATGTACTAAGCCCTATGATGTGCCAGGTAACCCTGCGTTAGTATCTCACTAATCCTCACAACAACTCTAGGACTGCTATTATCTCCATTTTACAGATGAGGAAACTAAGGCTCAAAGGGGTTCAGGAACTTGCCTTTTATAGGAAAAGAAGTCACTAACCAAGGGACCAGCCCGCGCCCTGACTAACTCCAGAGCCCACCTTTCTAGTCGTTGTGCACTAGCTCTAACAAACGTTGTCTCCAATTTCCCACCAGCAAGAAGGAAAGTCATCACCTTCATTGCGTATTTTAGAAAACTAGCCTCCTGTTACAAACTGATTAGAACAAATCAGAAAAATTCCCTTAAGAGAACTGTACTCAGTGGAGGATTTGCCGTGTACAGGATAAAAGTACGGGACGGCTGACGTCAGCTACGCTCCTGAGAATCTGCTGAGAGGTTGCAAAGCAGCCTGGTTGTTTTCATTCCACTGGTTCTCAAAAAGTATCCTCTCCAGTTTCTTACCAACTTCACATTCAGGGTGCACACATCTTGGCAAAGGAAGAAAAGGGTAAGGGTCCTGCCAGATGATCACTGACCCTGAAAAGAATGGGGGTGGGAGGGACTGGGCCCCTACAATTAAGCTCTTATAGGTCAAATGCTTATAAATGTTCACATCAACACTTCACTGTTTACAAGGGCTTTGAGTCAAAAACTGAAGTTGTTATTCTCAGTTTAATTTCATCCAGCCAGAAGGGCAAATTCCAAGAGGCAACAGAACATCCCTAAAGGTTCCAAAACACAAT